AATGGCTGGGAGAGCTGTGGGAATGGAAGGGTGGAGGTAGCATTAACAAGGGCTTTGTAACCAAAATAAAATTCTTTCCTCTGAGAACCAAGGACGTTCACACCAGGTGTAAAGGTGTGATGTGTGTCTAGATGAACTTTGGACTGTAACCTAGTTGGGCCATGTGATGTCTGAAGGAGCAGGAGGAGGAAAAATGTAACTTTTTACTAGGGGGAAACCCAGGAGATTTTAGATTTGGGTTTCCACAGATTTACCAATATGACATGCCTAATAAATCTGTGCTTTAAGGAAGATGTTTGCCTCAGAGTTTTAATTCTGTTGGGTGTGTTACTTAGAATCCTGGCATTAATCCAAATCTCTTTTTTAAAATCAAGCAGCTCCCTGCTTTTCCAGGGCTGCTGTCCGGAGTCCTGAGCTCCAGCTGCTATCCCAATCCACTGGGTAGCATAAAGACTCAGGGAAGATGGAGAAGAAGCTGGAGGAAAAGTTCTCTGACATTAGTGGGACAGCGATCACGGGAGAGCAAAAGGAAGCAGCTCAAGGAGTGCTTGCAGGACTATCTGCTACCCCTCGGTGACTGGGGTGGCTGAAGTGGCGGAGACAGAGCTCCGGCAGGGCACCTGACCCAAAGAGCAAGTGTCTTGGCCGTCCACTCAGGTGGATCCCTCCCAGTGGGGCAACAGAGCAGGGTTACCAGCATCCCAAGAATTGATGAGGGGCCTGGAACATCAAGAGCCATGCTGGGCCAAGTTAGATACGGCAGGCAGCAAGGTGTTCCAAGAGCTCCAGATCATCTGCCCAGGCACACCACAGTCTTTGAGTGGAGAGCCATAAGGCCCCTTGAGCTCAGCGAATCCAGGAAGCGAGGTCTTGCCCTGCCTTCGAGAAGCCAATCTCTAGTTGGACTCCCCCAGAGATTTGGTGAACTCAGCATCGGCAGTGTAGCTAAACTCCCTCCTAGCAGTCAGCCTGGCTGGGTCATGAATCAGCCAACATTCACCTTCCCAGGGCAAGGGAACATGACATCCCAGAGTGGGTCATCTGCTTCTTTCCACTTGGCGCAGAATGGATTGCGCTTAAAGCTATCTCGCCAAGCCCGGTCTACCAGGATGACAGCTCAACCAGGAGTCATTGCCAGACAACAGCCGGGACCTTTAGGTCAGTCCAGCTCTGGGATGCCAAGGCAAAGTAGCCCTTCCCACCAACCACCCCTTGGGCTAACCCCAGTGAACCAGATTCCTCCTGGGTGGATGTTTTATCCTTTCCAGGGATGGATGCAGTATGAATGGATGCTAGTGCCAGCTCCCTGGCTGACTCCAGCATCACCGCCAGTGGCTCCAGAGAGGTAGGCCTGCAAAAGAGCTGATTTGGGAATTTTGGAGAGTGATGGGAAAGCTAAGAGACTGGTCGGAACACCTCTTTATCCGACATTTCAAGGAGGTTCTGGATCAGGACCTCTGGCAACCCTGTACTTTCCACAGGGTTCCCAATCACATACAAGAGTGGTATCAAACGGCAGTGGCCATGGACCATGAGATCCACTGTGGAGGTAATTCCCCATTAGGAGAATGAGCGCACACAGGGAGACGTAGTGAGAGTGGTGAAGAATAACACAACCAGGACACAGATACACTGTATAGTAAAATGTAGGTTTTTACTTCCAGTAAATGGTTAAGCAAAGTCCAACAGGCAGTCCAAGTCATACATGGTTATAGCAGTCAGTTTTCAGTCCAGGGATAATCCAATAACAAAGTCCAGTATCAAAAACAGTTCAGTAATAGACTCACATCAATCCAAAAATAACGACAATCAGAAACCGTCAATAGAGAAAAACGCAGAAACCAAAAACAGCGAACATCAGAACATCGACCAACTAGCAACTAGCAACACTCTCTGGAAAACCAGGTTTCTGGCTCCATTTATGGCCGTTTGAGGAACCACACCCAGTTACAATTTTACCATTCCCTTAAAGAGACAGTATTAAATGTCTATCCTGGTTTATATATTTCCAACCCAACTGTTAGGTGACTAGCAATTCCTAACATCCACCTGCACTGGAAACCCACACCAGAGAAAAAGCCCAAACGCCAAATTAGTGTGAAGCAGGCCAGCAAGCCATGGCCAACCTCCACAGCTACCATTAAATGCTTCAGATGCAGTCCCCTGATGTGCCAATATGACATGCCTAATAAATCTGTGCTTTGAGGAAGATGTTTGCCTCAGCATTTTCATTCTGTTGGGGGTGTTACTTGGGACCCTAACAATGGGAACATGAGCACCCATAGCGGGGTTTCCTTCTCATTTCACTCAGCATAAAGCAGAATGTGCCTAAGCCTCCCCTGTTGGGCCTATCTACTAGACTGACAGCTCAACCCATGATTGCTAGCCAGCTGCCAGGACCCCTACGCCAGGCCAGCCCAGGACTGCAGCAAGGGGCTGTAGGCCTATGAGGCAAGGCAGTCTGCCTCGCCAACCACCCCTCAGACTACCCCCTGCGGATCAGATCCCTCCCAGCTGGGCATTCTATCCCAGTCAAGGGTGGATTCAATGCCAATGGATGCCAGTGCCTGCTCCTCAACCTGCCCCAGCACTACCGTCAGCACCACCGACCACCCCCTACCCCACACTTCAGGACTACTTTTGATGGGAGTCCTGGAAAGCTGGCATATTTCTTGAACTGAATCTGGTCACACCTCGACCACTACAGAGGTCAGTACCAGTCCGATCAAGAAATGATTTCGGCCATTGCTGACAACATGGATGGTGAAGTGGCTGAGTGAGTAGCCCAATTGCATGCTGAAGGGGCTCCTGAGCTGTAGGACATAGATGAATTGCTGCAGCTACTAAGGACCCAATTCAAAGACACGGTCCAAGGACAGGAGGCAGAGGCTGAGATCAAAGAACTAAAGCAGAAGGACCTCCCTGCCAAGGAACTAGTGTGGGAATTCCAAAGAGTGGCAGGAAAACTAAGAGACTGGCTAGAATGCCTCCTTGTCCATCAATTCAAGAAGGCCCTGAATTAGGAGTTCCGGCAGGCTTATGCCTTCCGAGGGGTCCCCAAGCGCATACATGAATGGTACCGGATGACAATGGTCGTAGACCTGGAGATTGACACACACCTGAAACCTAAACAATGTTACCCAAACCCCTATGATTTTCTCATTGCAGGAGGTCTTCATCAACTGAGGGGGAGCAGCCTGTCAGCCCTGGAGCCATTTTCCCCTGGCATCTTCAGGGCTGCCACAGCGGAGATTAGTCAAGCTGTTGGAATGGGAATGGGGAGGTAGAGATAGCTGGGGGATTGTAACCAAAATAAAATTCTTTCCTCTAAGAACCAAGGGCTTTCCCACCAGCTGTGAGGAGGTGAGATCTGAGACGAAGTGACCCTTGTACTATCACCTGATTAGATGTGACGGACTGCAAGGGCAGGGGGAAAAAAACTAAAAATGGGTTGAAAACAGCCAGAAAGCTGACCCAAAGTGGGCTGAAAAATGGCCCCAAAATGAGCCATGTGTGCTACAGGAGGCTATGGAGGTCAAAAATGAGGTATGGGGAGGGACATGTGCAGACACGCCCATGCCCCATTTTGGCCAGCAGGGTGCTACAGGAGGCATCCGTCATGCCATCCCACCCCCCGTACTGCCCCCCCCTGTCCATTTCTGTCCCCCTCCCTGCCAGCCTGCAGAGGAGCTGACTCTCAGTATTTTAAGCAAAATACTATGAAAAATAGACCATTTGCGGATAATCCAACCATCTAAATATTTGTAATTTTTTAAATTTTCACATTAACTAGGGGGAAACACAAGGGAATTTTAAATCTATACTTTGAGGATTATGCCTGTCCTGGAGTTTTGATTCTGTTGGGTGTGTTACTTGGAACCCTGACACAGCAGAGGGGCATTGGGTAAGGGGACTGAGCCTCACCTGCCCGTCCTCCATAGCATGGCAGTCCAGCTCAGGAGGGGAGTGAAAGGGAAGAGGCAGGCAGGCAGCCGGGTCATCTCACTCTGCTGTTGATGGGGTGGGGGTGGATCTGGAGGACAAAGTAGAATGGCAGGGATGGAGCATGTGGGGCCATGGCATGGCTCCACCCCACCCCGCCTTGTGCCTTGCCCAGTCAGTTCATCATCCAGCCTGACAGACGTGCTGCACAGCTGACTGTGTGGAAAAAAGACATCTGAAATAAACCCTAGTGCTTATTTCGGAGCCCAAAAGAAAATAAAACTAGGCCTTATTTTGGGGTAAACATAGTATATAAGAGAGACACTTTTTGACTTTACAACACATTTTTTATATTTTGGCATCACTGTGATTAGATTTGGATTTCTTTGATTTGGATTTTATTTTCTGATATGTTTTGTTTGTTCTAAAGCCAACAATGAAAGATTCTGTTTGATTTTATTCACTGTAAAGATAAAGATCGTTTGAAGCTAAGGCTTACTTATTCTACCTGGCAATATAAGCTAATATTCTGTCTAAATCAAATATTTTTGCAGGTTTTTGTAGGGACAATTAACTGAAAAAAGGTACACTCTTTCTGTTTTTAGGAAACTGGTTAATAGTCAATGAAACTATTGTTGGTAAAAGATCATCTCTTTCTAAGGCAGGGGTGTCAAATTCTATTTCATTGAGCGCCGCATCAGGGTTGTGTTTGACCTCAGGGGGGCTGAGTGGGCATGGCCAGGATGGGCATGGCCAGGGTGGTCATGGCCAGCTCGATGTCCTGCAGCCCTCCTCTAATGAAAACGGAGCCTTGTAGAGTTGTGCGCTGCCCTCCCAAGCTCCATTTTAACTGGCAGAGGCACTGCAGGCCACTCTCCTTCACTGTTTCCAGGGCGGCCCCATGGGCCAGATCTAAGCACCCTACAGGCCAGATCTGTCCCGTGGGTCTTGAGTTTGACACTCCTGTTCTAAGGCAATGAAGCAAACAAGCCATTGTGGTTTGTTGACTATATCATATCACTTGCCAAACTTCTAATGTGGGCCTTGATGTTTTCAAGGTGGGTAGAACAAGACCCAAAGGAAATACTGCAGTCTGTCTATGAATGTGTTGAAAGAACATGTGAGAAATTGAACCAGCTGAATATAGACATTTCCAACATAAAAGGTATTTTTAATTCTATAACAGTCATGAATATCCTTCCAAATCAAGAGGAAAAAATGATATACATAAATAACTTACAGAGATGAGTGGAGAATAAATGTGATGTTACTGAAATATCTTTAAAGAAAACTAAAATACTTTAGAATTATAACCAATCAAAAACTGTCTTAAGTGAGCCAGAAGGCACTTGCTTTGGCAAATTAGCTTGCTGAATTCTGTTAATACCTTTCTCTCAATGTTGTCCCCTCTGCCACTTTGTACTTCAATCTGGGTGATCTCTTTATTCTCAGAAGTGACTTGTGATAAGTACAAATAACTTATAGTAAAAGAACAATCAGAAATAATTTCATTCAGAAACATAGTTTTGCTCAGGTTTTGGTGATCCAAAATTTGTAATAATGTAGAAAATGATAGAATGTTTGTTTTGTTCTTAAAAGCTGTTGGAGTTAGCAATCAGAGGGAGACAACTGTAGTTTGGGACAAAGAAACTGGAGAACCTCTGTATAATGCTATTGGTTAGTAAGTCTTTTTTTATTAATATAGTTCTTCGCATATCCACATATTTAATGTTTTATGAACATCAGTAACAATACTTTGCACCAGATATTAGTCTTTGTTTTTTATCTTATGTTTAAAGATCCCCAAACAATTCTTTGTATTTCAAAACAATTATAAAAAATTTCGGTTTTGCTCTCTTCTTCAGAAGGAATTTGTTCCTATTGTTCTATTAACAAATTAATCAAATTCTACATTGAATGGACTTAGTTGAAGCATAATATTAATTCATCATGTCAAGATTTCTTAATGAACTGTTGAATCAAGATATGAGAAGCAATCATAAGGACAGGAGAAAAAACATTTTATTGTTTCATTCCATCATAATTCTTCAATTTGGTGTTCAGCTGCCTAAACAAAGTGTTCATAGTAATACAAAATAAATTTTATATGAGTAAACCGCTAAGTTGCACGTTTTGAACGAGATGCAAACATTGACAGAACTCTTCTAAATGCTTATATGAATGGAAAATACATTAATTAAGCATTGGTAACTAAGCATAAATTGCTATAATATAATTGCTGTTGGCACACCCAATTTTTACGGGTTAGATCCCAGGAGATGCTCTCCGAATGCGTAAAGCCCCTCTAAAAGAATATGGGCTAAGAATAGACCTAAAATGAAGAAAACTATTCAGGTATGACCATGTAATTTAAATTCAGAAGTCTGAATTGTTCATATCTAAACTTAATTTGTGGTTTTATTCTTCTCTGTTTTTAAAATGTCTACTCTCAATTTTTTATTTTATTTGGTTTGTGAATCTTAGTTTTTATTTAAAAAGCATTTGGTTAGATAAATTACTAAGTGATGTAAGCTTACTCATACTTTAAACATTTTTGTTAGGTAAATAATTTATTATTTGGAACTGAAATTACATTAGCTTAATCAGAAGAAGCATGGTTTACAATAATAAAGTGCCAATTTAAAAATCTAATCTTAATTCTCCTTTCTTGAATAAGGTTGTTTCTATTGTTCAGGAAGACATTTAAACTATATTAGATGATTTTGAGAAGTTTGTCAATGGGGACCTATTCGGAGATTCAGAACCTGATTCTATTCAATCAATGCATTCCTTAAATATTTACTGATATTAATACGTGTCTTTGGATTCTAGTATGGCTTGACCTAAGGACTCAATCTACTGTTGAAAGACTTCTTAAAAGGATTCCAGGAAAGAATAAATCCTTTTTTAAGGTAAAAACTGACCTTAGAATAATTAGAGTATGTCTGGTAATTACACAGTGCAAATCATTTTTTTTAATATTCATGCTAATGAAAAAAAAACTAATTTAGTGTAGTGGTTAAAGGCACTAAAGAAAACAGGGGATTGTAAGATCTGTGTGAAGCCAACTAGGTTTCTTTGAGTTAGTCACTTTCTTTCAGCTGCAGAAAGAAGGAATGTCAAACAACTTCCAAAAACATCCCCAAGATTGACTTGGACAGGTAGTCACCAGGAATGCAGACTGAGTCAAAACTACCAAAATAATAATAATAATTAAAGAAAAAAATGGATTAGTAGATTTGTTATACTGTAGATGTTTACACATTATGATTGATTAACTTTCAACCTTGCAGCATAGGACTGGTCTCCCTCTTAGCACATATTTCAGTGCTGTGAAGCTACGCTGGCTTTTGGACAATGTAAAAGAGATCAGACAAGCAGTTCTTGAAGGGAGAGCTCTTTTTGGTACTATTGATTCATGGTTAATATGGGTATGTATTAGTATACAATAATGAAATCAATTTCTTTGATTTCCATACTTCCTCAGCTTGTTTTTAATATCCTTTAAAACTATTCATCCTTGATGGGCAAATATGTTCTCACATTCATTCAGTTTTGATCATAAAGCACTAAAGTTGGGTTTAGTAATATTCTAAATTAGTGCTTTTTCTTTCATTACTCAAAATTGCTTATCAAAAGGTCATTTTTACTCAATATAGGTAAAACACTTTCAGTCAACTTAAATATTCCTATTGTGATTGTATAATATGTTCTTGTTTCATCCCCCCAAAAAAACAATTTTTATGAATTTCAGGTAATTTATCTAGATTTGGGAAATTCTGATTTAAATATAGATACGCATTTATTCTATACATTGAGTAAATATATGATGAAACAGTGAGAGACAGACAGACAGACAGACAGACAGACTTATATAGCTGACTTCCGTTCTTAAAACATCAGTTCTTAAAGGCTTTAACGTTTTAAAGTTCCACTGGATTTTTTAAAGTTCCACTGGATTTGCTATGAAATTATGCTGTTATACATGGATTATATTAGAGATACAAATGCCTAAAAGAAAACAAACATTCCAGAATATAACGGAAGTATAATCTGCTGGGATCTATAGCTCTATAGAGAAACTATTTTTCTCATACACACACTGTAGCAGACATAAGTAATGTCCTTAAAAAGGACAAGAGAATAGCTGTTACTAAGGCACCGGTTTATCAGCACTCCAGGTTGACCAGATAGGAAACACAACCAGATGAGCTAATTCTATTTAACCATAAGGGTACATTAACAGAATCTTGAAAGTCTGATAATACGAATCTCCTGGTGCCTCTTACAGCCTGAGGAGATGGAAGTTCCTTTCTGAGTTTCTTTCTCTGCCCATTGTGCATTCTGAAGGCTATGCCTACTCTTATCTGATCATTTCCCATCCAGCATTTTTTTCTTCTCCGAATCTCCCAAGGTCATTTTCACATACTGTTACAGAGTCAGAAAATAGAGACTTGAGCCAAGGAAAAAAATTAAGAAAACATCTAAGACAAGCCCATCCTTGGCGTCACATAAAGATAAAATAAAATGGGAAGTACATTCAGACTTGCAAGGTTCTATTACTATATCTATTACAGTAAAAGTAGTCCTATCTTGTTGGCATCTATCTTGTTGATTTTCTGCCCTCTTTCTAACACACAGACACACACACACTGAACATACTAGGTTAAAATTGTACCTGATGAATTGTTTTCTTATAGTTAATTTTTGTAAATAATAGCAAATGTAGAGTTTGCATATTTATTCTATTAATTTTCCAGCTATGCAGTAATAATCAAAATTGTTTATTCATTCATTTAAGAGTTTGACTGGTGGAAAAAATGGAGGTATTCATTGCACTGATGTAACCAATGCCAGCAGGACAATGTTGTTTAACATTCATTCATTAGAGTGGGATGATGAGCTCTGCAAGTAAGTAACTTACTTCTACATATTTGAAATAATAATAAATACATATTATGTAATAATATGTATGAAGATTTTATTGTATGCTTTCCAGAGTCACCTTGTATGAAATGGGCGGCCATATGAATTTGACAAATAAATAAAAATCGTGCTTAACATGTTAGATTAAAACCTTAATCTGGTTTTCTTGGAAATAAGAATTTTTACAGCAGAATGATTAATTTTAACAGCTGTTAAAATTAACCGCTTATTGCCCTCAGAACTTTCTGTGGGATGAACCATAAGGACAACCTTGCAAAGATGGCTCACTAGAGTCACTGAGCCATCAGCACTTTTATTGTTCCTTTTAGAACAATAAAAGGAACAATAAAAGAGGCCCGGATGCACCACATACAGGCCATGCCCACCTCAGCTCCGCAAAGGAGAAAACGTGAAACATCACGACAGCAATGTGACGCTGTGAGTTTGGCACCCATGCTTTAGAAGGACACTCAGATTGTGTTTATCAGTGTCATCCAGAAAAATATCCAGGTAGAGAGCATAATTTCTACACTGCTATCTGTTATATCCTTTCAGTTTGCCTAGTTCAGGTGTTTGCAACCTGCAATTCCGGAGCCGCATGCGGCTCTTTGCACCCTCTGCTGTGGCTCCTTGTCCCATCACTGGCTGGCCCCGCCCCTTGCCCTCACTCAACTGGCCTTAGGAGGTAAGGGTGATGGCAGGGGATGGAGAAGCGGCCGGGGCTGGGCATACCTTCCAGCCCTTGTTGGTACTGGGCATGCCTCACAACCGACACCAGCCTCACTAATATGAGGGCTGGCAGGGTGGGAATGGGATCCAAGAGGATGGGATATCAGAAAGGGTGAAGGGCCCGCAGTGCCCAGCTACAGCTTTAAGAAACTTAAGGCAGCAGGAAAAAAGGGGCTGCCCCCCCCTCTCTCTCTGGTAGAGGCTTCCCTTCGGGCGATCCTCCTCCTCCTTCTCCCCCTTCTTCTCCTCTCATGACCACCTGGCTGGCTGTGGCAGGACTGGGAGGGTGTGCATGCGTGAGGAGACACCCCTTAAATGAGCAGCCACCTGCTCTGTGCGCCCCTTTGCTGTGCTTTGGCCAAGCCAAAGAGGGAATCCTCTGCCGTGGCCGGCGATCATTCCACCGCCAGGAATAGCCAAGAGGAGGGTCGCCAGAGCCATAGTGCAGGAGAGAAGCTGCATCCTGTTAATACCCTCAAGCCAGTGCCCCCCACCCCCGCACGCCTTTGCTGCATTTTGGCGCTCATCTGAGGAGGAGCTCCCTGCGCATGCGCACCCTCTCATCCCTGCCACAGCAAGAGGAGAAGGAGGGGGAGGAGGGTTGCCCGAAGGGAAGCCTCTGCCTCAGCTGGCAATTGGATTTCCAGAAAGAAGAAATAAAAAGAGGGAGGGAGGGAAGGGGAGAGAGATACAGAGGGGGCAGAGAGAGAGATAGAGAGAGTGGGAGATAGGGAGAGGGGGAGAAAGAAGGGGAGATAGAGGGGGAGAGAGATAGAGAGGGGGGGAGAGAGGGGAAGATAGGGAGAGGGGGAGAAAGAAGCGGAGATAGAGGGAAAGGAATACAGAGAGTGGGGAGAGATAGAGAAAGGGGAAGAGAGAGCGGGAGGTGCAGAGAGAGTGGGAGGGAGGTGGCAGAGAGGTAGAGAGATACAGGGGGGGAGAGGGGGAGAGACATAGAGCAAGAGAGAATTTTGTGGCTGGGTAGGCATGGCTAGGTCATGTGAGTGGGTGGGAGTGAGTGATATTGAGTTGGCCGCACCCACCCAGGTTTTGTAGCTTCAAGTTAGCCATCACTCCCACGCGCCATCCATCTGTGCATGCGTGCATGATCACTCCACGTACTGCGCATCTCTGCGTATGCGTGTGCGACCCCCAGCACGCACTACGCATCTCTGCACATGTGTGCATGTTTCCTGCGCACCCCCCGTATGCATGCCAGATACCTGACAATCAGCTGTCGGGCGGCAGCAGCACGCACGCATGTGCAGTGGGGCTCTTCTGGGTGAGCTCTCACGTGCCGGGGAGAAATGGCTCTGCATGCCACTTCCAGCACACGTGGCATAGGTTCGCCATCACGACTATAGCATAATGCATCATAGTATTAACTCTAGCCCTTTTTATATATTTTAGAATAATCCTATTTTTCCTTTTATCTTAAATGATCATGACTCCTGTGTTTTATTGCTGGACCATGAGGAAATAAACATTGATTTGATTAATCTTGATTTTCCCTATTTATTCATATTATGTTTTATTTACCTCTTTATCCTGTGTCCTTTATATTTTTATTCTTTGACTTATATTTACATTTACTTCTTGTACGTTTTTATATTTTATACGGAGATAGATAGATAGATAGATAGATAGATAGATAGATAGATAGATAGATAGATAGATAGATAGATA